AGTTGTCCTACTGTCATAATAATCAATTGAATATTGAGTATATCCAGCATCATATCCCATTCAATGAGCTTGAGACTTGAGTCTAGAGTCTAGCATACAAAGGGTGGGTTCCTTGAACCGTTGTTTAGTTGTTTAGTTGCATCGATGTGATCAATGTGTGTTGCAAAACCATTCAGCTCAGTCCAGGTGAAATCTAGCATGCCCACATCCCTTAACTTGTTCGTGGCTCTGCAACGTCAGGAGCGGGACCGCGGGACCTTTGTTGTTCTGAGATGAGCAGGTGGCAGGAGACTGTGGACTGTGGGACGTGGGCCTGTGGGCCACTGTGGGCACTGTCTGGGAGCAAGCCATCCTGTCATCATTATCACCAATTCCAATTCAATCTGTTTCGAGATTCGATCTTTGTATCAGACTGAACATGCACGAACAACAATAAACAAAAGACCAACGACCACCTATTCAGACCTAACCAGTATCTATTCACATCGTTCATGAGTTCATTAGATTCATTAGACCCCTCGCAACCCTCGTAGACAAATATGGACCCCATGGACTCCATGGACTCCATCTCAACTTGTAAACTGACTGACTGCCAGACTGCTAGTCAACTTGTTCATTGTTCCCGTATTTCCACTTGCCATCAGCCCATCAGCTACCAAACCAAACACAGCAACCAGGAGCAACCAATGCCGCGACCCAAGATTCAACTGCATTCCACCAAACAGCGTCAGTAGCTAGTAGCTAGTGATAGTGATAGTCAGTGATAGTGACTAGTTTTAGTAGTTTGATAATATATTATTATATATAATGGATGTGCTGATTGCCTGATTGCGGCGGATAGGATTGGATAGGTCAACGAGTCAACGGTCAATAGCTTGCACTGCCTAGGCTGCCTAGTCAATCCAAGGAGCCGGGCAGCCGGGCACCGTGCCAGATTGGAGGCAGACAAATGGGCAGGCAAACGCGGCGAAGGTTAAATCAAGAGTCAAGAGTTAAGACTAAGTGACCAGTGACTAGAGACTAGAACCAGTGGCCACTGCCGCGCCGCTACGATTGTTTCCACCGCTGCCACCCACAGGTGCCACAGCGGCCGTATGCCGGTTTTGTTCCGGTACAACGCCGCATCCAATGCTGCTGACAGGCTGACAGGAGTCCACGAGTCCAAGAGTAAACAGTGCACAAATATAAGCAGTAGCAGTAAACAGTTGGATTGAGCGGTGGGCTTCAAAGGTAGTTGAGCGACTCTTTTGACTAGACCTTCACTTCACTTGACCTTGACCTTTGACTGGTGATGATGGGACGACGTGACCACCGTGACCACTCTGACGACGTGCGTTTGGAGGAGGCCCCAAAGGCAGCACACGCCAGAGCCCTGGAAGTTGACTGTAGCCTGTAGACTGTAGGCTGTAGGAGGCTCTTTTAGCTGATCAAGTCAAGTAACGCTAGTAACTGAATAACTGCAGCCACTATATTTTACCTCATTCAATAATAATAGTTGTTAGTTGTTGGGGTGAATGGCGAATGGTCAGTCAAGAGTCAAGAGTCAAACATAATTATGCTGTGTGGCTGTGTGGCAGTGTGGCTGAATGAATGAGTCGAGTCGAGAATCGTGCGCGTGGTGGTGGTGGTGTATGTATTTGTTCATGAGTTCATGACCATGACAATATAGACTGTCTGACTGACTCTCAGGCTATCTTCGGGGCTGGAGTTGCCGACAGAGAAAGTGAGGTACCACGACAGGCGACGTCTGTCAACCAACCAAGTCAAACAGTCAGACCAAGTCAGGATTCGGATTGCATTGTGTTGTATGTATGTTTCAATGGTCACTTGGTCACTTGGATGTTTCCTGTTTCCAGTGCCATTGCTTCATGTTTGCATTATGCGAAGCCGTCAGCCTTCAGCCATTTTTGGTAAGTTGATATGTATGTATTGCAGACAGCTCCAATTGCAAAACGACTCGACTCAACAACTGTAAATACATTGCGGTTGCGTAACAATGCAGGCCCTGCGGCAACATTCATTCCTGGAGTCCTGGAGACAGAAATAGGCAGTGGATGCAGTGGCGACTACTACAACTACTACTGCTGCTGCTGCTATTACTACTACTTACTACTTATACTACTTCCAACATCTTCCAACGATGAACAGTGAATCATCAATCAACTTAACAGACTTAACACCAAAAAGCAAATAGTGACAATGTGCAATTGAACATGTACAATCCATAGCGTAGTTGTGTAGACTGTAGATTTGTAGATGTATGATGTACAAGTACAAGCCTTTACTTTGTTTGTCTTTCCTGACTTTCCTGTCCTTCGCTGCATGTCATGTCACAAATGTTTAACATCACATGAAACGACAGGGTCTAGACTCTTGGATAGTCCTTGACAGTTGACAGGGAGCGGCAACAGGCGACAGGCGTGCGGCGTCCGTCCGGGGAGTTCTAGTTGCATCGGTGCATCGACCCACATACTCGACTCGATACCCACACGCCACACGGACACGCCACACACCGTCCACACCGCTACTACAACCGCCACTTCACATTAGCCCATTACCTACCACTGCATTTCCCCCCAGTTGGCCCAGTGGTGGGTGACTTGCAGAAGGTGGTCTGGTGGTTTATGTGTTTAGTTATTTGGCATGCTGATATGTGGGGGCAGGGGCAGGCGGCAAGCGGCAGGGCATCACACTGCCAGACTGCCGGCACAATTGTGCACCAAAGGTTGCAAGGCTGCAAGGTGTGATAAAATCGGCTAGGATTCTGGGTAGGACTTAGGACTCGGACTGACTGACAGGACATGGTTGGTGGCTTTCACAGTCAGTCAGCAGTGGTTAGTGGTTTCCGGTTTCCGATTTCCGGTTGACCTGGTTGACACATCTACATCTACACTACACATCATCTACATACAGTGACCCCCCTTGAATTTGGATGGATGAGGAAATGATGACATATGACGAATGATATGGTGTATGCATCATGTATGCATGTATGTATGTATGTATGCATGCGCTGACGCATACATGTAATACATGTGTGAACTATGTTTTTTTTCCGCATGACAAATGACTCTAACATATGTGAGATATCATATAATATAGGCCTTTGGAGTGGATGAGTTGCCTGTTGCCCATCACTCCCAGAATGTCAATTACAGGCTACAGGGGCGTCAAGATTCAGAGTCAGAATCGAACCAGTTCTGGGTCACCAAACTCTACCTATTAACTTACTAAACAAACGATAATATTCAGTGACACTGATACTTATCATGAATTCCACATTGCAACAGGTTGATAAATACAGTAGTCACATTGGCTTTATTATCAAACAACAGATCCAAGCGGGTGATTCATCATGGAATGCACGGTGCTAGCAACACAACACGACGAATGATGATGATGATGATGATGAGGAGGAGGAGGAGGAGGAGAAGGAGGAACTGAGGAACGGAGCGAGCATTGCACGCGCCTTGGCGCGGTTGACGCAGTCCTTGCCGCACTTGCGCGTTTTTGCCTTAACTTCACACGGTTGACGCAGTCCTTGCCGCACTTGCGCGTCCTTGCCTTAACTTCACACGGTTGATGCTTGCCGCACTTGCGTGTCCTTGCCTTAACTTCACACTTCACGCTTGACTCCTTAGCGAGGCCATATATATACACATGTAAATAATATGTGTGTTTGTTTGTCATAAATGTATGCATACATATATTTGTGCTTGTGCCTGTCAATGTATGGTTGCATTTTGTGGCCCTAGCGGGGCCCTATCGCCCTTTATAGCCTACTGACAAACATGTATAGTTTTGACTTGACCTGACTAGTGCATGGGTCAAACAATGAGGGTATCAGCAACAAGTCAGAAAGTGAAAATAGGAGACCCAAACAAAGCGTGCAAGTGCCACATGCAACAAATATCAGGATGCTGTGTTATGGGAAAGCAAGGTGCCAAGTGCTAAGGTTTCTTTTACAACTTTGCAAATTGTTTCGGTTGGGAATAGGATCGGATATGAGAGGTAGGGTAGGTAGTATGCGCGGTGGATTGGATCTCTCTTTGCACATTCCTTGTCCAGCCAAATGCAGGCTGCATCAACTTTGTGCCATTCACTGGCGCAACTTTATCTCTCGAGGCGGGATTGGCTTTATCCCGGGTTACGGGCCAGGTTACGGTGATGGATGGAGTGTCCATCTGTCGCCTTTGAATCCAAGCAATGTGTATGGTAAAGTTCACTGGTGTCAAACAACCCCTTGCTCATCGTTGGAAGACTGGAAGGACTAAATATAGATATATAGAAGAAATACGCTCCTTGATGGTGAGTGGTGAGTCTCAGGTTTAAGCATCGGTACTCGGTGACATTTGAGGTCCAAACATTTCCAATGTAGAAATGATAGGATCTATCGTGAGTGTTGTATTTCAATTGACACCTTACAGGACCTTACAATGGGAGAGGATGAGGTGTGATTATTGGTGTTGATCTGTGGACAAAGTTGCAGTTCTATCATGAACATATAGTATATGTTTGTCACACAGTTGTCAATACAATAAGAAATAGTAATTATATTGTTCTATTACGAACACAAAAAAAGTTATGCACGTGGTGATGATTCGGTACAAAAAATGATAAGTTTTGTGTGATAGGAAGGGCTTCGTGGCACCCCTAGCTGCCAGGAAGCACTTGATGGCACACATCAATGCCATGAAGTGCATTCATGGCAGCCAGGAAGCTGATTTATGGCAGCAGCAAAGCCCCCAAAGTGGCTTTGTTGCTGCCAGGAAGCTGCTTCATGGCACCAAAACACTGCCAGGAACCCCTTCCTGGCACCCCTACCTGCCAGAAAGCTCTTCATGGCACTTTTTCGCTATTTTTTTTATGTACTCAAGCTAGTGGACAACCGGCCAAAAAAAACACTAATGTGATCATGATAGCAAATGATCAACTTAGGAATTTTTGAACATGTGTGACTATAAACATAGTTAATTCTTTGCTTGAATACTGCAGAAGCAATGTCGTTCGATGACGCCAGCTCTTGCACTGATGATACCTTTGGGTTCAATGAAGGTGGGTTGGCGAGACCTTGTAGTGCAAGAACTACAATTATTTTGACCGATTCAAGCACCAGCAGCCACAGCAACCACGAGCCGACTATCAGGAATGGTAGTGGCAGTGGCAGTGACAGCGATGTTGTGGTGGAAGAAGCTGACCACACGGGCGACACAACTGAGGACGATCAAGACTCTTTGAACTTGCTGGCATTTGAAATATTATCGGTGACCATGTACGAACATCATCATACATTTCCAAGTGGTGCGAGTGACGCGAGTGATCTTGATATGGGCCGTTTTGGGGAGGGTGACGCTGCTGGTGGCCCTCGTGGGAACTCAGACAGGTCAGGGACCTCCACATCTCACTGGGGGAGTGATGGAGCAGAATCACGAGTCGATAGTGATGACTCAAACACTAATCGAGAAAGTGAGGATGGTGATGATGCACATATAAGTTCTGTGAGTCCAGTCAAAAGCACAGAACACCATTTTTGTGAACTAATTCGCCGGGACCGGCGCAGCAATTTAGCATTCTGTATTGAATGTGGTCGCGCGTTCGGGACGCGCATGCTGTCGCATTAGTCCATTAGCTAGTAGACCAGTAGAATTGTGTGTTTGTAGCCATCGGCCATCAGCACACTACCATGCACTACCAAAGTACATGAATCGCACAGTCTTCACATGCCTATGAGGGAAAAAAGATCGGCAGACTGACAGTGGGAGTGGGTGCGTGTCTGTGCGGAAAACACCGTAAACAACAACAATAACAATGGAAATCTGAATTGAAGATTCCAAGCCCCCAAGAATGTTTTTGTTTTTTTGAATTGATATTAGGTGATAATTAGTTATATTAGACTGAGGGACAAAAAGGCAATCAATGTATCACTCAGGACAGAATTGTGTCACAATGTCTTGAACCTTGGGCCTTGTGGCCTTGCGGCATTGCGACATGCCAGGCAGTGGTTGCTTCGCTGGCTGTGGCTGTGGCAACAGGACTGAGGACTATCCATCCTGTCGCAAACATCTGTTGTTGATCGAGCTAATTCAATTCAGGTTGTGAAAATCATAGATAGTGACAGGGACAGGGACGGGCACTGTTCAGCAAGGCATATCAATTCTGTTGTTGCGTTTGTGTTGTCTGTGGTTCCAATGGCTCAAGCTGTTCTGCCAGTTGGGTAGGGTCCCAAACTGTCCAATAGCTTGACTTCAACCAGCTAGGTCACAACAACTCCTGGTCTTTGAGTCTTTGGCCTAATGAAGAGGCCATCATCAGCTGATGCAAGCAGTGCTTCTTCTCGCCAAAAGAGGTCAAAGGGATCACTGCGCGGACTGCTGGTGGGAAGTGACCACATCGGCCGTTTCTTCGATCCAGATCCATCCAAACGGAAGACTTGTGAAATCCGGAACTTCAACGTGCGTTGTGTGAAGCCCCAAGAAGAAATCTACTTGGCCCAGTCTGGGCTGAAAGATTCATATGGCAATGGGGTTTTCTGTGTTCGGGGCAAAGCGATCTTCAAGGGCAACACTTTTGTGCCACACAGTGAGGTCCCGTCACACAGGTCAAAACATCAATGCAGCGACGCTGAATATGAAGCTGTGAAATCCAGCTGGTCGCAAGACAAGAACGGATGCGTTTTGTGGGAGTTTGAAGCATCGGCATTGCCAACACCAATGTATTTGGCACCCAGACCGGGAGAGGACCGTGTGTGTGTGTGTGGCGGTTTCAATCTGTGTGGGTGCGCCGCGTGTGTTGTTTGTGTTCAGTCTGGTGTTTCAGTTCTTCATGTTGGTTGCCTTCGCGCTATCGTTGGTTGTTGTTTATCTTGGCCAGCGTTTAAGCCTTTTAACAATTCCACCAGGAGATATGGATGTTCTTCGATATAGAGCAAACCAAGTCTGATATCAATGCTGTGCACACACATGGGACAAGCATCATGGAGAGTTTAGGTGTGAAGAGCAAGGGCATCAGTGACAACACGGTGAGTCCAAGTCCAAGTCCTGTTGCAACAGCCTCAGCGGCAGCTCAACCACCTCGACAACCTGAAACAAAGGCTGCCTCCGCACAGGAAGTTGCGACGGCTCTGCACGAGCTTGAGATGCGCAAGTGTGGCATGACACCCAAGAAGGAGTCCCAATGTCACCAAGAAACACCATGGAGCGGAAAATCAGATTTGTTTGCTTGCGATGGTCTTCAAGATGAGCTGGAGAGACTGATGCTAGAGGAGTATCCGGATCTTCTTGCACCTGGACAAGCCAATGCAGCTGACTTGGCTGTTGGATTGGACGCTAGAACGGCCAAATTGTGTTTGCAGGCATGGGGGTGGGGTGGGAGACGGGAGAATTATTGAATCGTGACCGTAATCGCTTTTGCTTCAAGATTCAAGGTGAGAACATTGTGATGATACCTATAGGTTCTTCCCACAGCCAACCTTAACGTTTCCTTAACATTCGGACTTTATTTAGCTACTGGTTGGATAGTGGTTATTGTTATTGCTATTGCTTGTCGCCACCTGTCTTGTTTGTCGTCTTTCTGATATCTGATATTCAGGCCAAAGATGATGACTATGCTGCCAAGACCTCTGAGACCGAGACAAAGCTTTTCCATGTGGAGGCAAGCTTTTTACTTCTGAACTTCTTATTCTTATTGCGCAAAAGGAACAAACTAGAATTGTTCTTATTCATATGCTGAGTTTTTTGAATTGTTTTCAAATTGTTCTCCTCCCGGTTCTCAGTTCTCCCACGGGTCCCACGAGGATCCTTCAACAGTGTCCAATTGGGAGTCAGCCATGAAGCAAATTCAGCCATCGCGGCCATCGCCAACCGCTTCACCTGGTGAACTTCCAGCAAATATGCCAGTTCCCCCTACCCTTGAAGACATGCCAGATACGACGACAGATGGCGGCGTGCCTGCCACCGTGCCTGCGACTCAAACACAAGACATGACTCCAAGTTGTCCGGCAGAGAAACCAGATGCAGAAGCAGCACTGGCGATTGTGGCTGTTACCGCTACCGCCATTCCCAGTGTCAGCGATGATGCAAACATGAAGACAGCATGTGATGCAGGTTCTGCTCCCAACAACAATGCTCCTTCTGAGCCTTCTGAGCCTTGTCCAGCACCTTCTTTGCCCAAAACATCCTCAGGACCTACTACAAACGCTGACCCTCGCCGTTGTTCACTTCAGGTTTTCATTTTGCAATGGTCATTAGGTCATCGTCATTTATTTCTTTTTATGGACCAATGGACTAATAGACTAATGGACTTGGACTTGGAGTCAGGAACATCAACATCACCCGGGTGTTGTTCGGAACATGGACGACTACTTTGGCTTTTTCAAGCATGCAGTGCACGTTGCGCTGGATGAAGTGCATGCAGTGCATGATGTTTGCACAGGGGAAACGACTGACATCATCTTCGACAAAATGGCTTTGATTCACAAGTTGAACGATCTTTCTTTGAGCACTTCCTATTCTGGAGTAGGGTCCCCTGAAACTTGCTTGCACACCCTGTGCCACTACATCAAAGAAGCTACTGGTCTTCAACCAGCAAAGCCATCCATTCTGTTCCAAGTGGAGTATGATGCCTCTTGCAGGGAGGAGCTACAGCTCTACAATTCATTGGGCTCTGCTGGTAAGGTACGAGATAGTGAGAAGAGTTGCTTGTTTGGAGATTTGAATGAGTTCTGGCATCCGGATTTGCAACCCATCATACAAAGACTCCAATCTCAACCCGATCTTGCATTGGAGCTACTAGCAAAAGCTGTTGGCAGTGGAGAAGCATGCAGGACGTACGCGTGGTGTCATTCGCATCGTCGCATATGCCATCTGATTCTTGGTGGCCTCCATTTGGGTGGCGTGTAATGGGTAATGAGATTGAGTCACTAGTTGCGAGTCATGAACAAATCGTTCAATTATAAAAATTAAATATATCTGAATCTAAAGCGCCGAAAGCCGAAAGCCTGACTACTACTACTTATTACCAAACCATCCAACTTATCAATGCTTATCAAGTTATCCTTTTGCTGTTTCATTCGATTATTTGAATCTTTGGTCTTTGGTTGTTTTGGTCGTGAGTCGTGGTGGTGGTGGTTGTTGTGGTTGTTGTTGTCAGTTGTTGCCGGTTCTTGTTCTTGTTCTTAGTTCTTGTTCTTGTTGTTTTGTGGTTGTTGGTTATTGGTTGTTTGTCAATGTTGTTGGATGGTGTTGTTGCTCAGGAAAATGGCACGCGTGCACGTGGCCGGGACCAGCTGCACAGCCCACTCGTCGATGGGGAAGCAGCTCGGAACTCGTGATGCCACCATATTACCTTTCCTGAGTTGGGTGTGTTTGAGAATCATCATGCAAGAGCCGATTATATTGCATGAGAACAGCCCTCGGTTTCCACTTCAGCTGCTCGAAAGGTTCCTGGGGCATATGTATGTCATTTCCTCCACTGATGTTGACGCAAGCGTCTATGGAAGCCCAGTGCGCAGAGAAAGAAAGCTGACACGATTATACCACAAGGGAAAAACCAACGTCGCCAACGTTCCGTTCAGCAGGTTCAGTGCAAGATTTGAGAGGACATGCACTATGTGTTGGAGAGAGTTCTTTTTCCAGCACACGCTTCCGGATGGTGGTGAGCAGGACTTCACACAAATACTATATATATATGGTCATTTTGAATGTCGTTTTGGTGTTTTTTGTGCTATCAACATATTTGGTAGGTATGCCATTGATCAATGTTCAATAGTTAAATAATTCATATCTCATATCTAGTCTTATTTTGCCGTGGCTTGAACAATTGGAAGGATGAATTGGAAGCTGACTTGCGCTGGGCAATTGGACGCCCGAAGGTTCAATCGCGGTTGACAATGGCGGGAAGAATCTCGCCTGTTGAATCAGACAAGATTTTGCAGAAGCATCACTTCGAAGATGCTCTGACAAAATTTGAGCAGGATAGTTTGGCGGCCTATCGATCTAGATGGCCTAGCTGCTGCTACAGTTTGAACCAAAACGGTGCGACCTCCTATGCAATGCATTCGGATGATGATTGTCAGGGGATGCAACCGCTCATCCGGAACATGGGTTTAGTTTGGAGCGACGTGCTTTCTGATGGCCCAGGACGGACAAGCGGCCAAACGGATTGATTTTCGGCTTAACAGCTTCTAGATTCTAGATCATATATATATATTATATAGAGAGAGATAGATAAAAAGACTGTTTTACTTTACACCTGGGTCTGGCGACACTAGCGATGATGGCATGTCGCTGCTCATGTCGCTGTCGCTGACAGGAGCCGGTGGGAGATGGATGATGGGGACAGAGGCACTCATCGCGCAGGGCTTTCCCATTCATCCTGTGATCCACAAAGGCCTACAACTTTCTTGCTTCAGTCTGGAGCCGGAGTCTTCCTCACATCATCGCACAGCTCGCACTATGAGGATGCAAGCCGGGAACAGCATGCAAACCTTTGCAATTGCGGTCCAGTTCCTTTTCATGATGCTCCATGTTGATGTCGCCGCCCCAGATTGCACTGATTACAGTACACTGACTGATTACAGACTACAGATTACACTAATTCAGATTCAAGAGAGTCTGAGTCTGAGTCCCTTTAGTCTTGAGTCTTCAGTCTTGAGTAGTCTTGAGTCTTGAGTAGATCGTTTGTAGCATGTCATTCAATGACATTGTCGTCGTTGGAATTGGATTGCCAACTGCTACTTATAGTTTGAGCGTCGTTTTTGTCCGCCGAGCCATTGTAGGTTCCGCCAGTGGGTCCAATCATCCGCGGCCTGCACACCATGCGGAAGGATTTGGAGGAGGAGCCACCAACGCCTGAGCCAAGGAGACGCCATCGTGTGAAGTCACCTGCGAAGCCTGCTGCCATACCATCACTGTATGGTCCAGTGTTCAGGCCGATCCTGGAGCCTGAGCAGAAGCAGAAGTGATCACTGATTGTCGCAGTGGGGCAGTGTGGCAGTGGCAGTGAGCTGATGACCAGACATGGTGGCAGCCACAACTCATTTATAACTTCAACTTCATCTTTTCTTAGCCTAGCTGATGCAACTGTCAGCTGCATGCTTGCATAAATGCCGAATGCGGCAAATATAAATTAATCCATTGGACATTGGAAACTAAACGCGTGTGTTCGATTTTGTTTTTGTGTGTTTGTTTATGTTTGTTTGCTGTTTGGCTGTTTGGTGTTTGCACCTTTGAACATTTGAACATTGGCAGTGTAAGCGTGGGTAATCTACGTTCTGACACAGTCATGTCAAGTGTTTGTTGCACGTGGAATTCGAACCTAGAGGCAGGTAAAACAGAAGGCAAGACCTTGACCTTGACCAGACCCTGCCATACTATGTATGCAGCATGCAGTTCACATGGGCACATGGGCAGCCGGGAATTTCTGTACAGAGCAGCTGCTGCCGGCGCCGTGCGCCACGTTGTGTGCCCTCGCCTCTTCTTGCTCTCTTCCTTGGTTTGCTTCTTTATTTTGTTGTCTCAGTGACAAGTGACATCAATCTCGATTCCTTGCTGTTCAGCTCACTTTAACTTTGAACCACCCTTTGAAGTTCAAGTCAAGTCCCATGCGTTTTGCCACTCTGTTCTTTTCTTAGCTGAGAACAAGGGCGAGAGAGAGAGAGAGAATCTTAGCGTCAGTCGTTGGGTCATTGAGTGGGGAGAAAAAACACCTTGTTTGGGCTTGACTCTTGGCGCTGACGCTGTGAAGCTGTGTTTGGCACTATGATTCACTATGATGGTAAGACGGTGAGAAAGAGGCACCAAGAACAAACATAACTAACAAAGCAATTATTCCTGTAAGCCGTAAGCCTGTAAGCCTCTATACTATTTTAAAATTTTTGCATTGTTGAATCGTTGAAATTGTTGGCTGACGGCCACAGCGGCCACGGTCTGACGGCCTGACAAGGACCAGTGACGGCAGCCGCGTGTCTGGTGGCCCGTTTACTCAGAGCATTGGAGATGTTTGATGAACCTAGAGGCCGGAGGTCTACAGGCTACAGGTGGTCTTTCAGTCTCGTCATTCAATCAATCATTCAATATATCAACGAATCAAATAGACAATCAGAAATGAATGGTTGGGACGCAGTATACTCAGTAGGCTGACAGTCTGACAGTCTGCCAGTTCAACCAGCAAGGGGAGTAAGTAGCTTGTTATCATTTGACATTTTCATTTACGTTCATTACATCATTACATTGTTGCATTGAGTCATTGACACTTTGGCCCCGGCCGACCACATTGCTGTGGCTGTGTTCTGTCAAAGGCATCGGCGTGCTGCACGCCGATGCTGCATGCTGCATTCATACATGGCAAGCCACAGTAACAGTGATCAGGCATCAAAGTCAGGCAGTCAGGCAGTCAGGTTGGTCAGGCATCGCGGCGGTCTTCTCTGTTGACTTGGATCACTGTTCTCTTGTCGGGCAGGGTGTGGTCGAGGCCATGGCAACAAAGCCTTCAAGTGCAGGAGCAGTGCCAGGTGGGATCTCGGGCAGTGTGGGCCTTCCAGAGGAGTTCAAGGAGCTGCGGGGGCATTTGCTTGTGGAGGCTATATTTGCTCGGTATGGAGCCGGCACCATGACCATTCCTTGGATCAATGAACATGCGAACCCGGATTCGCCAGAGTACCGCAACATCCGTCGCGATCCATGCAACAGAAAGATCATGGAAAGCCTCGCCGAGGCCTATGCTGATAGAATTCTGCATAGTGGCTTGAACGTTGACTGTAGCGGACATTTGGTTTTGAATCACTCAGCTTGTTCCCTTATTGCCAAATGGCCAATGTGATTTGTGTTGCTAGTGTTGGACCAGTGTTGGAGCTTTCAATCTTCTTCTATGTCAATCTAACATGTCCGTAACATGTCCCTTTTTTTGCTGTGTTCTTCTTTGAAGCAAGCAAGAAAGAATGCTGGTTCAATGAATGTAAGGACGGGCTTGGATGTGCTTCTCGGCAAACAATTCGCTACCAGCAAATGCCATCACCTACAATCATCGCTCCGAGGCAATGTATCGAGCTTTGAAACGGGCTCCTGAGAATATCTATGTCAAGCGTGCACTCGCTTCGGGACTTGAGAATGTCAGGATGTTGTCGGCGAACACCCCGGTCGAGGTGAGGGCAGCTTTGTGTGCCATGCACAACCGGTATCACGAGGGCCAATCGGACAGTTTTGTATCCCTGCTTGATGATGCAGAGGCCATCATGGCTGAGTGGGACAAAAAGATTAATGGTCCAAACGGGACTGGACTCACAACGAGGAACCCCAACTACGAGTCCTACTTGGAAGCCTTTGTGTTCAAGGAGAAGCAGGCGACACAATGGGGAGACTCACTGAACTTCTTCAAGCAAACCAGTGTATTGAACAACCACTGGGTGCAGTTTTATGTGAAAGAGCCAGTGAAAGAATGGTCCAACGCGAACGTCGACTTCACGAGCATGGATGCAACAAACAGGCAAGCTTTTGGACTTGGGGTGGTGTTTGTGTTTGTGTGGTTTGTTATAAGTTATAGTTATAGTTTGTTGATTTTGTGCGTTTCCTTTGCTTTCTTCAACCAATTTCCCTTGCTTAATTTCAGACTCTCCGTCTCCCATATATGCGTAATTACTATAGTAACTATGCGATTGAAATTGGAATGACGAAGGAAGATTCCTATTTGGAGTGGATTGATTGACAAATTGACAAATGAATCAAAGAAAGCTCCAATTTGGTATTTGAATCTGAATGATTTGAGACTTGGTGACTTGGAGTCACTTGGACCCTTGGAGGAGGTCAAATTGTCATGTATCATGCCACCCCTGCCAGTGGCCTGCCTGCCAGGGACATCATCAAGATTTTGCACCAGTTGACCGTGGTCGTTGTCAATGGGCTCAACAAGTTCTACCCAAAAGAGTACATTGGCGCGGCACTGGTTGAGGCAGTCAAGTTTTGCGCGCCTCAGGCTTCTCTTCAAGTCACATTTGTCCTTTGTGCATTTGTCACTGTCACTGCTACTCGCATGTTACGAAATGCGCAAAGCTTTGCTGGTGTGTTTGTTCACTGAGTGAGAAACTCGATGTGAGTTATTGTGTTTTTTTTCACCAATTACTTACCAGACACAAAGGTGCCTACAAAGCACACCGGCGGAGGAGAGCGCATGGTGCCACACCTCTTCGTCAAGCCCGGGGCCGATGCAGCCGCGACCATGAACTTTCTGTTGACCCCAATGACTACCAGCGCTGTCTTCAAAAAGTTTGACCAAGAAGTGGAGGCAGCCGAGGATGGTAAAGCTGAAGAGAACACAAAGACCAAAAAAAAGAAGGCAAAAGGCAAAGCTGTGGAATCACAAGGATCAGAAGGCCAGATTCCATGGAGCAACCTGGCATTCCCGAACTTGGAGGGAGATGTCAGGCCAAGTCGCGGTGTGCCCGGCGTTCCTTCAGCAGATGTTGGCCGCCCAAAACATGCCTTGGACGACTTCATGCATATCTTCTTTGAGATTGTTGGCGTGGCCAAAGAAAAGCTGCCAGAGAACCAAAAAGCAGTGCAGTCTTTCCAGGCTTCCACAGTTTCGCTGTTTCGACATGCGATCAGCTGCTTTTACGAATTTGTGTTCTCCGGTTCTGCTGCAGTGAACGGGAAGTTCTGCCGCAACTACAGCATGTTCAGGCCAGAGCTTCAAGCTTTCATGAAGTCAGCAGTTGACATGGCCTTGTCCAACGCTTCTGTTGGTTTGGGGCCAGCAGGTTCTACTACAAGTGACAAAACCATTCCTCTGTTTGCCGATTTCAACCTTGATGCTGGTCTTCAGATTGGGCATTTACGAGATGAAAGTGATGAAGTCCGGGCGCTTCAGCGGTTGAAGCAAGGAGTGCCTTTGTGTAGAGAATCTGGGATGGCGAATTTTGTTGCTACCATACTGGAGTTGCCAGTGGACAGCAATGCGAACTTCATCACGGCAACTAGGCTTATGAGTCTTAGATTGGACGGCTAAGAATTTTAAGAATGTCTGCACTGCCCACTGCCTGCCCATGGTTCCTGGTTCCGTATTCCGTATTCAGTCACTGTTCAGTCGTTCGGTCCAATCAATCCAGTCTCTCTCACTCAAACTAAAGTGACCTTTTGCTCCCATATTGATGTTATTTAGTTATTTGTTGTCGCTGTCAGTCGTTGTCATTTTTGTTGACTCAGTGACCCTCAGAATTCTATAGAATCCGAATCCGAATCCCTCCACAGGCGAAGCAGAGACTGTTGTTGGACCCCAGCTTTGATTCGGACACCGCCCTTGTCACAGTCTTGCAAAAGATTTACGATGAGCTTCGTTCTGCAGTGCCACAACATTGGGTCAACATGGCCGCAGACGTGTGTGACCTGATGGCGGTGCGGCTACAATTTGTGGAAGACTCGGGGAAGATTTTCAAGGACGACAAACATCTGCTGGAACGGTTTGCCGCCCTGAGGTCATTCTACACGTTGACAATTTTGAGGGACTTGGGCCGTTTGACAAAGAAGGTGGTCTGGGATATCAACACCAGATTGCTGATCTCATCGCTCCATGTGGACATGGAAGCGCTGATGAGGCGTTCTGAGAAACTCTCAATTGAAACCAAGACCAAGGATCCGGATTCCGCTGCCTCAGCTGCCCCTCCACACCAGCCGCACCCAGTTGCCATGTTGATCCCGGGCTTTGATGTGTTGCAGAGTACTTCGGTTGCGATTAGCGGCTGTCCCGTACGCCGTACGCCGTACTAACTAGTACCTGTCACTGTCACTGTTGTTGTCCGTCGCAAGCAGTGCCATGTACTTCGCTGCTACTTACTAGCTACTGGCTATTATCAATTAAGGGTTTGGAACTTTTGAACCTTTAGACCTTCAGTGCATTCTTTTGAAGCAAAGAATATAATATATTCTACGGTGTGGTAGGGTATGTAATATATATATATACTGTATATATATC